CCACTGACTCCCGAAAAGCAGCCTTGGTTGGGTGGCCATGGAAGGCTTCATTGGTGGGGCCAGCTGAGCCCACCTCCAGGAGCTTAGGACAACTGACCGCTGCCTGAACAAGCATGGGACCAATGCGAGGTCTGCCTAGAACTTCCTAGAATGCCGTCATTGTCCTCTCCAAGCAGCCAAGCACAGCAAGGGCGAGAAGCCATGGCCGAGGCTGCCATGGGGCTGCTTGGGAACCAGCCGCCTCGACGTATTTCCAGCTGCCTAAGTCTGCTGCATGCTTTCGCTGTGGCCTTTGCAGCGACCCAAAGGGATGTGGCCAACGGCTTGGGCATCCCAGACTTGGACGAATGGTTGCCATTACCTCCTGTGGCAGGGATGGGAACCTGCCCCCCACCCCCAGATGGTGTTGAAGTACAGTTCCTAGAATGCCTGTCCGTCAGCCATGCTGGCTGGGCCCGGTGCAAATTGGTGTCCAGCAGGAACATCTGGAGAGCCGCAGGGTTCTCACGCTTGTCCTGTGCGATAAAGGAGCACTTGCAGAGAGCGTGGCAGTGGGACAAGGTCCCAGCAGGGCACCTGTGTGGCCGGCGGCTCATTGGCACGAATCCCACCAGCCATGTCTCGTGCGTCTGTCTTATGTACACAGAGCTGTAATGTGACTTTGCCATGACACACCAGGTTTCTACACTTTGTAGGCACCCCCAACTAACAAAACAAGAAGCCTTTTGTTAGTTTGAAAGGAAATCCCACAGCATTTTGAGGATTTCAGAGCTCTTTAATGAAGGTGATGCCTCCCCTTGATTAAATAACGTTAGTAAACCAACTTCATTCCCTGTGACAAGTGATCCATACACAGTTCATGGAATGCACAAGGAGGGTGGAGGTGCTATTAGAACAGGGGTCTCAAACTCAACTTACCGGGGGGCTGCTGGAAGAAGAGTCTGGGTGAGGCTGGGCTGCATCAAGTATTCCACCCCCGCGGTGTTGGGGGGCCGCTCATCCCGCCTCGCTCCCAGAGGCTGCAGGGCCCCTCCCCGTGCCCCACCCGTCCCGGGAATTGGCCCGCGGGCCATGAGTTTGAGACCCCTGTATTAGAACCAACTTCAGTTGTAGCTAGGAATGCATGATTCTGATAGGAATTTGTTCATTGGTCACTGCCCATAATATATTTGGTTTTATGCTTTATTTATTTATTTAAAACATTTCTATGCCGCCCCCCATTGCAACAAAGCCTTGTGGCAGCTCACAACAAAAACAAAAACAAACAAAATCATACCAAAATTATACACTAACAATATTAAAACCTTGTGCACCTCGGCTTAAAATTTAAAAAAAAATCCTGCATAATAAATTAACACTTAAAATTAGTTTTAAATAAAAAGGTCTTAGCCTGGAGCCAAAACACAAATAACGACGGTGCCAGGCGGACCTCTCTGGGGAGCGCATTCCATAGGTGGGGCGCCACTGCAGAGAAAGCCCTCCTCCGGGTACTCACCCTCCTAATATCATTCACAGAGGGTTCCTGGAGAAGGGCATCTGTTGCTGATCTCAAGGGGCGGGAGGGCATATATGGATGCAAGCGTTCCTTTAGATACCCAGGGCCCAAGCCATTGAGGGCTTTATAGGTCATGACCAACACCTTGAATTGGGCCCGGACTTCAATCGGGAGCCAGTGGAGCTGACGGAGAACTGGGGTTATATGGGAACAACACCCATTCCCCGTCAGCAGCCTGGCAGCTCTATTCTGCACCAATTGAAATATCCGGACCGTCTTCAAGGGTAGCCCCACGTAGATCGCGTTGAAGAAATCTAATCGGGAAGTTACCAACGCATGTGTCACTGTCGCCAGGCAGTCGTTCTCCAGGAAGGGACGCAGCTGATGGATCAGCCGAAGCTGAAGGAAAGTGCTCCTCACCCCCGCCGTCACCTGGGCTTCTAAAGACAGCTCAGGGTTGAGGATCATTCCTAAGCTGTGAACCCTGTCCCTCAGAGGGAGTGCAACCCCATTTAGGACAAGGCCCAAGTCCCCATCCCGAGTCCCGAACCACCCACCAACAGGACCTCTGTCTTGTCTGGATTGAGCTTCAGTTTATTGGCCCTCATCCAGCCCATTACCTCAGCCAGGCACTGGTTCAGCACAGCCACTGCCTCACCTGGGTTGGTTGAAAAAGAGAGGTAGAGCTGGGTATCATCAGTGTACTGATGATTCCGCAGCCTACACCTCCTAATGACCTCTCCCAGCGGTTTCATGTAGATGTTGAATAGCAAGGGGGAAAAAATGGACCCCTGCGGAACTCCATGGCATAACTGCCATGGCGCAGAGCCATAGTCCCCCAGCACCACCTTCTGAAATCGGCCGTTGAGATAGGAGCGGAACCACCACCACGCGGTGTCTCCAACTCCCAATCCCGCCAGCCTATTCAGAAGGATACCATGGTCGATGGTATCGAAAGCCGCTGAGAGGTCCAGGAGAACTAACAGGGACGCACTCCCCCTCTCTCTCCCTGCACAGGTCATCGTACAGGGCGACCAAGGCAGATTCAGTGCCGTACCCGGGTCTGAAGCCAGACTGAAATGGGTCCAGATAATCAGTTTCATCCAAGAATGCTTGGAGTTGTCCCGCCACCACCTGCTCTAGCACCTTGCCCAGGAACGGGATGTTGGCCACCGGTCTATAATTGGCAGCCACCTCTGGATCCAGGGATGCCTTCTTTAGGACTGGTCGGACTACCCGACCGTCTCTTAAAGAGGTGTTGACCACCTCCAGGATCCAGGTGCCAATCCTGTCCTTGGCTTTCTTAAGTAGCCAGGATGGGCATGGGTCTAGTAAGCAGGTGGTAGGGTGTACTTGTCCAAGCACCTTGTCCACATCATCAGGCCGCAACAACTGAAATTCATCCATTAATTGTGGACTCGACGGCGTCGTTGGCATCTCCTCAGTAGAATCTGGTACAATAGTAGAGTCAAGCTCGTGACGAATCTGAGCGATTTTCTCCCTGAAATGCCTGGCAAAGTCGTCACAGTGGGCCTTTGAGGGTGGTACGAGATCTTTCTTTGGGCCTGGATGTATCAGCCCTTGCACCACCCAAAAGAGCTCCGCCGGACGGCATTGTGAGGAGGCAATGGAAGCGGAGAAGAATTTCTTCTTCGCCGTCCTCACCACCACAGCATAGGCCCGATAATACGCTCTTAAGTGTGTTCGGCCAGATTCACCCCGTGATCTCCTCCACCTACGCTCTAGACATCTCCCAGCCTGCTTCATCGCCCGTAATTCAGGTGTATACCAAGGAGATGAACAGGCTCTGCCAGGTGGGAGAGGACGCTTGGGAGCGATCATGTCAATAGCCCTGGTCATCTCCCCATTCCACAGTTCAGCCAGGGCATCGACAGGATCACCAGCCTTGTCAACTGGAAAATCCCCCAGAGCTTTCAGGAATCCATCAGGATCCATCCGGCTCCGGGGGAGGACCAATACAATCTGGTCTGCACCCTTACAGAGGGAAAGGCTGCTCTCGAGCTCAAACCTTATGAGGAAGTGATCTGACCATGACAAGGGCGTCAAACTTAAATTCTAAATCTGTGCATTGTGTATGTTTTGCTGAATTGCAAGTCTCATGCTTGTTGCCCTGTTTTGAAATTATTGGCAGCTGTAAGGAACTACATTATGCTGAACCTGAAACAAGAATTCATTTGTTAGGGTACTCGGAGGGCAGAGATCTCTGGGTGAGAGATCCACTGCTGCAAATAGCGGGTGGGCAGGGCTCCACCACTGCGACCAGTAAAAGGCTTCTGCTCCATCCGAGTTCTGCATGTTTTCAGGGACCTTTTGTGCCACGTCCACTCACTGATGGGAATGGATTTTGTGCAAATGTGTTCATGGACATTTACATTTGCACAAAACTATGCAGATTCCTGAAAAACATACCTTTTCATGCTCTGGTGCTGTATGTGTGCAAATGCATATTTTCAGGGCAGGGGGTTGTATTTTTCTATGACTTGACTTGTGCAAAAGAATCAAAAGTTTAAAAAAGGTAAAAGAATCAAAAGTAAAAAAAACAAGAATAAAACCTGACTTTTCCATACCTAGCATCCTGAAGTTTATTACCTCTGTCCCAAGTCTCTCTACTCCTTAGTTCTGGTTACACTAGCTGATGCAGCTGTTTTAATCTGCTGAAATAAGAAACCGGGGGCTATTAAGCCATGTCAGCATTGGCTTCTGGCTTCTTGTAGGTAAGAACCTGACCTGCTTTGAAAATCAGCCTTCTCTAAGGAGGTGCCCTCCAGATGCACTGGATTGCAATCCCCATCATTGCATGCCACCAAGCCCCAGCCTTCCCCACTCTGGTACCCCCCCCCCCCCCGTTGTGTTGGACTACAGCTCATTATCCAATTCAGCAGGCCAGCAGCTATGTTGGCCAGGGATGATAGGACTAGTGGTTCCACAGGTGTTGCAATGTTTGGAGAGCTGGAATGGGAGTCAGGAAATCTAGGTTTTAGTTCCTTACTCTCGGGGTGACTTTGGACCAGTCAGACTCTTAGCCTGATCTGCCTCACAGGGTTGTTCTGAGGACAGAAAGTGCGGAGACAGATGTAAGATGCCTTGCGTTTCTTCCAAGAAGAAAAAGCCAGGCTTTAAATGTAGTGTAATACTGTTTAGTGGGCAAGGCCAACTTCGATTTTAAGGAGAGCACCCTCTGCTTTAGGAAGCTGGTGAACTGAACAGATTAAGCCCAAGATGAAGGCTGCAAGCCTACATGCACTTCCTTGGGGAACAGCCGTCTTGAACGCAGTGAGACGGGGAGGTAGTTCTGCGTAAACATGTGTAGGCCCCCGCTGTTAGCGGCATCAGTCGAAATCCTATGAAATGATGAGGATCTGTGCTGGATCCAAGCAATAATCAAGGATCGGGTCCATGATCGTGGGTCAACACTGCAGAGTAAAATGGCGGGTTTGTGGGGGGGGGCCTTTCGTAATCCGGTCGCTCCCTTTTAAACAGGCCGTGACAGTGTATTTTGTTTCTTTATTCCTTCATTTTCCATACTGCCCAGCAGCCAAAGCTCTCTGGGTACTTGTTCACAACAGCACATGCAGCAAATCACAACAGTTGGGCTTGAATGCCCACACAATATTCTGTGCTAACAATGGGGTTATATCTGACAGTTGCAGGACAGGGGAAAAGAGAGCAATCCAGTGAAAGCAGCCCAGCCAGCCAACTAAAGAATGCGGCCAGCAGGATCCAACCGGTGGCACGACGGGGACTCGAATTGAAAGAATGCACGGGGGCGTAGAGCGACCCGTGGCTTGCCATATTTCAAATTCACTGAGACCGGAGCTCCATTCTGAAGCAAAAGGCAGTAGGAACCCACTGGCAGGCCTCGCTTACAAGTGATCCCACCAGAGCCACCCGAGGTGGCCTGGACAGCATCCAGGTGGCCCAGCTGAGCAGGTTTGCTGCACTTCCATCCCGCAACGGATTCCTCAGGCATCTCCCCCACTATTTGAGTGTTAAGAAAATCACCAAGGTGATGTACAGGATCAGAAAGCAGAGGCCCACCCCAACCGCTGCGTGGGCCATGATGCGTGCCAGCCGGGAGTTTCGCTGTGCTGCGGTCAGGTTCCCCGCAAAGTTGGCTTCTCGGGTCTGGGGAGGAAGAGCAATAAAGGCTGGATTAGTGAACGCATGACAGTGCTTGCCACCTTGGGCAGGCAGCAGAGGGTGGTCCCGAGCCGCTGTGGCACTGGCCTGTGCACTGGCTAGCAGACTTTTTTTTTGCCACAAGTAACCCTATGGTCTGAGATTGTGTATGTGAGGGAGTGCCAGAAAATGGGTGGTTCCTGATGGGCAGCTCCTAAAAGTATAAATCAGAAGGCATCATCCAGCTATTCCAACTTCCCCTTCTTTATCAGTGTCTGCGTTGGGATTTGAGAAGGAAAAATGCCAGGGAGATGAGTTGGGAAGACATGGCGGGTTAGGAGTAGCTGCCTGGTAAACATTCCATGCTCGCCACAGAGGGGCCACACAGCAAAAGCTGCGTCTGGAAGCAGCCCAAGAAAGGGGAAATGGAAATACAATGTGCTGAAGCGTAAACAGAAGGCTTCTCTGCACAAGGCATTCCTTCTGTGCTTGTGAACTCCTCAGTCACGGAAGTTTGCAGGGCCTTTTCACCCGAGCATTTTCCTCTGGGGCCTCTCTCACAGAAACCCCAATGCCTGAAAATGGTTAACATGCACATAAGCAGTAAGAGAGTGTGTGTGTGTGTGTGTGTGTGTGTGTGTGTGTGTGTGTGTGTGTGTGTAGATGGGGTATTGCAGGAACAAGGCGTGTCTCCAGTCCCCAAGCTTGTACTACGGACCTGTGCAATAGTCCAGAGAACCCAACACCTGGCTCACACCCTGGTTCCTCCTACAGCTTCCTTATCTTTTGTCATGAAGACTTACAACTTCGGATGAAATTAGATAGCCTCTCCTCCTAGGTCTGCCCTATTGTACGGCAGGGAGCGAGAGAGACGGGAGATGTCTGTGAAAACAGCTGTAACTGGAAATCCACTCACCTTTAAGGTTTCACAAGATTCGCTCTTGTATTTGAGCAGCAGGCAATGGTGGCTTTCCCTGGGGAAGTTAGTACTGCTCAAGGGCAAACACGCTTCCTCAGATCCTGCTCTTTCTGCTTTTTGATTGCCATCAACCTTTGTACTTTGCTGGGCCTTTTCCCTCTAGGCAGCTGCAGGCTTCCTACCTTTAGGACAGTGCTTTAGTGGCTGAAAGATGAGTGGGGGTTCCTGAAACCCAGGAGCCCTGATAACTCCCCCCTCCCACCATCATTACCAAAAGCTTGGCTAACACCAAAGTTAAGGGGTTGCCTCCTGGTCGCACTCAGGAAGAGACCAGTCCTAATGTGATTCTAGCTTTGGAGCTCCACCCCACCAGCTACCACCTTCCTTCACACAGGCTTACCAGTATAGAGAAAACCAAGGCAGTGATCCCCAGTGGGAAGAAGCAGCAGAACATGGTGAAGATGGAGTAGGCCAGATAGTCGGGTTCCTGGGTGGGCTGGACAGGTGTGATGAAGACGGCCTGAGGAGGCAAGATGCTGGGGCCCTGCTTGAATCCTGTCCCAGGTGCACCATATGGAGGCTGGCCCTGGCTGGGCTCAGGGAGAGCTGCCCCGTAGCCGATGGGGGCCAGTGGCTCAGGATGCCTTAGGCTGTCTACTTCTGAGTAGCGGGGTGGCTCGGGGAGGTCGGGCGCCTTGCCTTCGACCGTCTCGTAGCTTGGTTTGCTCATTGCGCAGCTCTCCTCTGCTCTCCCGCCCTTCTCCGGCGATGTCCCGCTGCTTCCGTCGAGCTGCTGCGGAGCCCCTTCCCTCCTCTCTCGTTTGCACTCCTTCTCCCCGCTTCAGCGCGCTCCCCGCAGCCTTCGCCTTCCTCCTCCTTGGGTGGTCTCCTCGTGGGGATGAACCCCCCTTGGCTGGACCCTCGCCGGGCGACGCAGCCCCCTGCTCCCCGCTTCTTTGCTCACGGGCGCTCTTGCGTGTTGCTCGCAGCCAGGACTTGCCCAGCCGTTCGGGAGAAGGAATGAGCAGAAGTTGGATCTGATCAGTGAACGATGCGGGGCGGGCTGGATGAGCAGGAGCGCGGGCTCCGGTTTCACTTCCCGCTTAGATGCGAAGGACACGCTCTTTCTCTGGAGCGCATGACCTCACCCATGACTTCAGAGCTGCGAACAGGGACTGCGTTATATTAACCGATATCCATCCCGAGGATCTTCTTGCCAGCCACCCCCCACACCGTCATTTTAACACATTATGCAGATAATCGTGTTTTGCTGTTCCTTTTGGAGGAACGGGTATCTCTGCAGAATCAAATCAGCACAGAACTCTTAGTTTAGATTTGATATTGATGCAACAGGAAGAACTTGACTTGAATGCAATGCTTTCTTTAAAAACCTTAACTCATTGCACTGCTTTGCTGTAAGAAAATGAATCCTTTGTAAAGCAGCCTATAATGACAACCCACATTCAACTCATAGTCAGATCGTGAGTGTGAGTTACCATGTTGTCTGAACCCAGCTACTGCCTGATGACTTTCCTTCCTCTCCCACTCCATGTGAGGGTATATGCATGGGTTAATGCCACCCATAATTTTAGAATCCCCCGTGTGGAATCACAACACTGGGCAGAATACAGGTGGGGTTCTCCTGAGTCCACCACAGGGGCCAGTGGGATGACACACCATCACCTCCCACTCCAGACTGGAGTATCCCAGGAGCATACTGTAAAAATGCAGGTACCATAAATTGTTTTGTGGAATTCTTAGGGTTAAAGGAAGCTTGGCAACAAGTTAGTCTACCCCCCCCCCCTTTCTAGGACATACCGAAGAGTTACTGCCCAGCCTCTTCCTGAAGACCTCCTTAAGAGAACCTACTCACTCCTCCTGGTAGTTGGTTCCTATAGAAAGGCCAGGGAACAAGCTATACTATCCAGATGTTTCTCCAAATATTCAAACAAAAGCTACCCTCCAGAAACACACACCCATTAGATATAGTCCTGCTGTCTGGGGAAGCAGAGACAGAGGGTCTCACAAACACACACAGCAAGGACAACAGAAGACATACATTTGCATGTGTTTTGAACATGCTGATCTATACATATAGCTGCACTGTTATAATAACAGTTCTAATTTATTCAGTCTGTCTCACCATAAAATTGGAGATTGTGAGCAGGGGACCTTTGTGCCTACCTGTTCAGTCTGCTGTCCAGGTGGTGCGGATAGACAATGTCAAAGCCCAGCTCTTCCTTCTGGTGGTTCATGATCTTTAATCTGGAGTTTTGCACAGCACATCCAATAGACGTCTTCTGGCAACCCTTCAAGTAGAGGCCTGCTCTCTCTAAAAGAGGACACTTGGCCACCCTGTAACAAGACTTTGCCTTTTTCTGTGTCACAACGTTTGGTGTCCCTCCATCTTCTCTTCTTCAGGCTGAATGCACTGAGTTCCTTTAACCTTTCTTCATAAGAATCAGTGTTTGCATTACTGACCATCTTTGTAGCCTTCCTCCGAAACCACGGCTCCCTTGATACAGCCTGAAATCCCATTAGCTTTTTTTCTTTTATGCTGACTCGGATTTCATTTGTGATCGATTGCTATCTTGAGGTCCTTTCCAAATATACTACTGCCAAGTCAGGTAGCTCCCATATGATAAATGGGCATTGAACCTATCCACTCCATCACACACGATGCAGAACTTTGCACAGAATTGTGCTGAATTTCCTTGTGTTAATTTCTGCCTCATTTTCAGGTTTTCAAGGTTATTTGGAATGGGATCCCTTTCTTTTGAAAAGTTGGCATTCCCCTCCTCAGTTTCATGTCATCTGCACATTTGATATGAAATGAAGCCATTTCCTAATTGAAGAGGAAGTGAAATGTGCTGATCTTTCTCTCTTTCTCCCTGCCTGCCTTTATTCTGTTTCAACAAACAGATGCATAGCATCATGGGTAGACATGACTGGGCAGCTGCTGAGGGCCCACACTCCACCAGGATCCCACTGATAATGGCCCGGCGCTTGTGTTCCCTCTTCTCCCCTGAAGCCTGCTTGTCCACCTGCCTTTCATGGAGGCCCAGGTCACAGTGGTAGGGAGAGAGAGCAGCAGCACATACTGTGACGTGTTCTCTTACCGCCTCTCTGCCTGTCAAGCAGGTGATGGGGAGCAAAGATGAGAAAGAAGATGAGGAGCAAGAGCGACTGGGGACGATGTTGGTGAGGAGCATCTGGAGCTGGCACTGCTCTCTCTCACGCACACCACTCATGCCAATAGCAGGGTTTCACAGACCTGAGCATGAAAAGGGGCTCTGGAAACAGAAGGTAGTGCTTGAGGCTGAAGAGCAGGATATTATGGAGGGAGAAGTGGCTAAACATGCTGGTTCAGGCCTCAAGATAAGCTGAGTCAGATCTGGTACCGCACTTTTGTGAACTCAGTGGGTAGGGCTTATTTATAATTCTGCCTAGTTAGGGACATACTGCATCCTTCTGGTGGTCCCCCTTTATCAAATGCAGCTTTCATTCTAGCTTCATAGGAACCATCTGCATTGCTTCATGGTCGAGACCAGCAACACAGGTTGTTCCCATAAAGCTCAGAATAGAATAAAAGGTGGTATATAAATGCTATCATTTACTCAGTGGATCAACCAATGAATCAATCAATTGTTGTCTTGCTGGGCGAGAATGGCAAGAACCTGTTGCCACTTGTGCCAAGTGTGTCCTTGAACTTTCCGGTGTCAACTTTCCCCACATGGCCCAGATGACACATGGAGGCAGCTGGCATTGGATTTTCTCTTCCCACGTGTAATTGTGGCTGTTTTGGGCTTGCTGTGGTTTTTTTCCCCTCTTCCGATATTTTGTAGAGGGTGGAGTTCGAGAAAACTGGTTGCCATGATTCACATTGTAACATGCCCCAGTGGAAGCTTGGATGGGGTGCTCCTGGCTGATACATATTTTGTTTTTAATTCCCCATTAATATTCCCAAACATGCCTATTTTGTATGCACATGTGAGATTTAAGACATCCACCATTGTGCAGGTTGGAAACTGGGTACCTTGAACGGGCAGTGGGCAGGGAGGCGCCTAGCAGCAAAGTCCAGCAGGTAGCCACCTTGGGCATCACTCCACAGGACTTGTAGGTAACTTTATTTCCCCATTTGACAGCTGTCAGAAGGTGAGCTGTCAAATGTCTCCCAGGGCATGAACAATCTTAGCTCACAAAAGTGGGGCAGCAGCTTCTTGATCCCCTCTGTTTCTTTGATTTTGGACTCATGTGTCCTAAGGTTGCCATCACTTCTGGAGTTATTTGCAAGTTTCTGCCACTAACCTAATGACTTCCAAATCCATTGGATCACAAGAGACAGTATGGGGTAGCAGCTAGCATGTCCGACTGGGACATTAGAAGACGTGGGTGCTACTCCTTATTCAGCCATGAAACACATTGGGTGACTCTGGCCACTCACTAAAGCTCAGCCTAACCTCACAGGGACGTTGTCAGGAAAAATGCAGAGGAGAAGGACCATGTCAACCAACTTGGGCTCCTCAGTGGGAAGTTGGAATAAATGTAACAAATACCTCACACCCATGCTGGCTGGGCACGAGGAGACTAGTAGTGCAACACTTGCGCAGTGCGCCAGGTTGAGGAAGGCCGAATCAGAGCAAGCTGTGTGTGTGTGTGTGTGTGTAGGAAGGGCTTAGAGAGCAATCGGGGCTTTATAAATGTGTCCCTATTTCATCTGTGAAAGATGGGAGAGTGGGGGAGCAGACTAAATAAATTGGGAAGCATAGGCAGGAGGGTTGGAAATGGGAGCTATCAAGTAAAAAATGAAGAAGCAATGATTAGAATCAGAAGGGAGGGTGAGTGAAAGAATGGGCAAACAGTAGAAATGCACCTGGAAAAGGCAATCATAACTAACCCATCTCATGATTTTGGGACAGGGGAGTCAGACCATGTTTCCAGTTTTCAGAAGACCAATCTTAATTTATATATGGTACTTAAAATTATTTTTAGACTATCTTTAAGGTTAAAATCATGTGACCTATGGATCCAATTGCATTGCCTGTTCTCATTGTACTCTTGTGCTATGTGGGTGTCATACAGCCTGATCACACACGGTGTTTATCCCTTGCTGTGGACGACCCATCACAAATCTTTCACTAGACTGAACTGTCAGATCCCCTGAAGTCATTTCAAATGTAGCACTGTGCATTTGACACAGTTGATCATGGGTCATCAATGTACGTGAATGTACATACATGTATGTTCAAATGCATGTTATTTGCCTGATGTGCATGCACACGTAAACCAGCCTGAGGCACATCCTTTTGCTGGTTGACTCAAAGAGCATGGTCAACCCAAGATTTCTTTGATGTGCATCAGTGGGGAGGTCTCTTAGGATACCTTAGGATTAATGTGTCCTTGCATGTACTTCTCCCCCATAGGCTGAAAGCTGGCCTGCTCAGAAGGGTTCACCAAACAAGTATGGTGATATACACAATCCAACATGCAAGCCCCACTCCCAGCGCCATGTTGGCCAAGATGAGTGCCAGCCTGGAATACTGTTGAGCAGCGGTGCTGTTTCCAGAGTCGTTGGCATCTTGGGTCTAGGCAGAAAGGGAAAGAAGTCATGCCTCAGTGAAAAAAGCAATAGGCCGACATTCCTCGTCTTCCCACAGGCGATGGGATTTGCATTGGCTAACAAAGAATTGTTTTGTTTGCTCCGAGCTAGACCGGTTTTAGACAGTACGTTCTTGGTACAGCTGCAGTGGGAGATACAGAGGGTTGGCTGGGTTTCTACATCTAACAACTTTACCAAGAATGTAATCTCATCATTTTAGGTTTAAATGGGGAAAGGAAGAAGGAAAGAAATGAAATGAAATAGAAAGGAAAGAAGGAGGAGAATTATACAATGAGAAAGATGATACACACACACACACTCACACACATTAGGTGTAACCAACACACAAGAATTCCCCTATTAACCCATCTCCTCTTCCACTCTGCTTCAAGGAACAAAATATCCAATAAATTGGCATAGCTGAAACTTTTGGTTCTTTATAGAATCAGTCATTCATCTGTGCCACACCCCATCTCTTCCTAATTCTTTCTCTTTCTCCTCACAAAAAAGTTTAACTAGATGGCATTTCTCTTCTTATCTGAGCTATTACATGGAGGGGAACAGAAAAACTCAGCTGGCACATCTGGCCTACGTACAATACTACCAACCTTCAAAGAGACCAGTGTTTGAATACAGACCATGCATGTCAAATCCAGTGTGTAGGCCCAACACATGCAGCTGATTTTATTTGGTAAGTTAAGCATCGTTTTATTCAATGCTCATTGGACTTTGTGCAAAGAGGTCATATTCTTAAGTTAAGTTGTGTTGCACTTCATATGGAAGTGGCAGGATGGTTGAACCTGGAGGGCAGGGGATGTGCTCTCCCCCTCCTCTCTCCAGGATGTGCTAGAAGAAGGGAGAAGCATAGTCCAGTCTGATCTCTCTGTCTTTATGTCATATTAGAAATGTAATAATAATAATAATAATAATAGTAATAATAATAATAAGAGTAATAATAAGCAGAGATCTGTCTTGGACCTTGCCAGTCTGTATGGGACAAGCTGGTCATCTGCAACTTTCACCAGGTGGAGCCCGAGCCCCTGGCCAAAAGATGCAAGAAAGGTAACATTACCCTTCCCTCTTGAAAGGGTATTCCAGAGAATCATCTTGCCAGGTGGCATTTCTAACATGTTAAGTTACCCCTTGGTAAATTTTCCTGCAATTGATTCCTTCATGCACCCTCTTGAAGCAAATTCCTGCCAAAGCTCTGAAAAACAGACGTTTGCATTCCAGAGTTTGACGATGGCATGTCGCAGCTCAGATAAAACACCAGCATGTCTTGAAAACAGCTGCTACCCTAAATCCATACAGCTCTATCTTGCCTGTGCTGCAGTGGACTTAACACAGCTTCCCCTCTGGGGACTAACAGGACATGCAGCAAGCGGCATATCGTGGTCTCCATGCATCCAGCCTCATTCTCTCCACTGCACATCGTTCTAGTACTGGAGTTATGGGGTTCAGGGAAGGGCTTTTGGAAAATGCAGAAGCCCAGGCTCTCCCTGGTGTAAGGCAAACCATTCCCAGCCCCAATAAAAGAGCAGCCGCCATGGGGTAGGGGGTGGGGGTCAGGCCTTCACTAACTATGAAAGCAGGCTCTCACCCATGTTATTCTAGCACTGCATCTCCTGCTTCCACCCCCACATACTTACCTGGATAGAGTAAACCAGGGCAGCAATACCCAGGGGTAGGAAACAGCAAAGCATAGTAAAGATGGAGTAGGATACATAATCAGGTGCTCTGGTAGACTGGACAGTTGAGATGAAGACAGCCTGTGAAGGTCGCAGGACAGGACCTTGGTTGGCTTCTGCTGCAGGTGGGCCATAATAAGGTTGGTGCTCAGGTGGCATAGGGAGAGCTGTCTCATAGTACATAGGGAGTGCTGGCACAGTGGGAAGTTTCCACGGATCGAGATCTCCATAGGGCTGGTTCTCTGAATACGGAGGCGGACTCAGAGAGGCAGGATCATTGCCTTCCATGTTCTCATAGTTCGGGTTGTCCATGTTGTGGGTCTGCTCTCTTGCTTCCCCCCTTGTGGTAGTTTTGCAGGTGGTGCCTCTCCGCTTCACTCAGTGCTCCATGTTCCTCCTTTTCAGCCACTGGGATCAGCTGTGGGACGCCCTGTTCTTTCACCTTCAGTCTTTTCTCCACCCTTCGTTTTCCTTCTGCTGTGGTACCCAGCTGATCTCTCCGTCTCCTCTTTTGGCTGGATGCTTGCCTTACACAACAGCCCGCTTTGTTCTGCTTCTCCGATTAAGGGATTCTTAAGTATTGCGCTGGCTCTTGGACAAAACCACCACACTTCACCTCTTAGAAGAAATGAGTGGGTAGCATGGGGAAGTAGGTGATCAATAATCCAGGCAAAGAGATTGATAAGGGGTGTTTTGCTTTCCCCATTCCTGCTGTGGGGCTGGAGGGGCACATGCAGATTGCATACCCAGTGTGATTTCAGAGCTGAAAGTGGGACATGGACCTAACGCAGATAGGGCAGCTCCAACCATCATGCTCACTGGGGCCGATGTGAGTTGGAACACAGGAAGATTGGGAGGGTCAGTGGCTGCCTGGCACCTCCTCCTGATACTTCTGGATGGTTAGAAACTTAGACAGGAGATGGATAATGGGCCCAGGGGTGCTGGAGGGAATTGCCCTGCTTGTCCTGGCAAAGTTGCCACTGGCTTCTGAGAGAGAGGGGGGGAGAGGGAGAGGGGGGCTGGGGTTATTGTAGTCTGTGTTTCAGTGCACAGCAACCGGACAGGTTCTGAGCCTGAGGACATGGTGAAGAGGCGTACGGAAGACTACATTTGGGCTCTGCAAGCAGCTTAGCACACCGGTTGTCTTCACAACAATGTGATGTTGGAGTACTGGATTTGGCCATCCAAATGTTTAAGGGTGCAATCCTTCCTTCCTTCCTTCCTTCCTTCCTTCCTTCCTTCCTTCCTTCCATGTATAAACTGCCTCATCACCCATGGGGTTCTCTGGGCTGTGCATAGAATAAAAACAGAATTGCCTGGAACTCAGCAACTCAACTAGGCCATAACAAGAAGTAATACAACTTATTTAGACAATAAAAGGCCCACAGCTCATGGCATTCCCTAGCCAGCATGCGTAGGATTGCTCCTGATACTCTCTGGATGTGGTGGACATCAACTCCCATCAGCCTCAGTCAGCATGGCCAGGAGGAATGCTGGGAGTGAGTTATGGTACTGAAGGTCTGGTGTAAGTGATGTGCATCCAGCTATGTTCCACTTGCTTATTTTTAAATCTGTGCACATGTTACAGAAGGACAACAGGGTTCCAGGAGCTCCTTCCTAAGGAACCAAGCCCAGGTGGGTGGTGCACCTCCACAATGCCTGTTAGTTCAGAGAAGCTGTGGCCCCAGCATCTTAGAAGGGCGTGTGGGTGGGTCAGTGGCAGAGTGCAAGCTCTGCATGCAGAAAGCCCCAGGTCCAGTTTCGGCATCTCCAGGCACATCTGGAAACTGTGCAGAGCTGCTGCCAGCCTGCGGCTACAATACTGGGCTAGATGAATAAATGGATTGGATTGGAGGCAGCTGCCTGTTTTCCTAACAGTACCAGGAATCATTTTGCATAGCTGTCTCCACCACTGGTATTAGAGGCTGTAGAAGAAACAAATAGGGAGTGAATTTGAAGCTGGTGCTGAGTCGGGAAATTACTGGAGTCAATAAAAATGATTGCACAATCAATATGTGTCAAGGAATGTTTATATCCTCTTGTTTCAATTCATTCTAATATATTCTTTACCCCTTACCAGCTGGAAGTTTGCCTCTGTTGCATTTTGCCGCTTTTTATTAAATGCATTTCCCAGTGTCCCCAGTATTTAAGGATTCCGAGAACATGGAGATTATGTTGACAGAGAGGCAAAGTCACAGCTGGTGTCTGGTGCTGTGCACATCCCTGGCAATCTGCAGAGGTGGTACAGGGCTTAGGCCACTCATGGGCAGAGTTTTCCAGCAGGTCGGTATCCCTATTTCACATATCAAGTAAACCCTGCACAATTCATTAAATGAATCACATGTAGGTAGGGACTATCTTATATTAGAGATTTAAAGACTGGGCTATGTGTCATGAGCATGTTCTGCTCCTTCCCTCTTTTCCAGCAGATCAAGACAAGTCTTCTAAACACACAGTTCTTTATTCAAGCTGGACTGGTTTGTGTTACAAGTCGGTAATACAGAAGTGACATAAATCAAAGTAACCATCACTCTGGTTTGAAGGAGAAGCTTCTGCCCATTAGTCCAAAGCAGCTGAAGACTCCCTCCTCCTTCTCTTCCCCCAAAGACTTGGCTCAGTCTTCAAGGAGGTTGGGGGCCCATCAGCAGGAAATGCTAGATGCTAGTTAATCGGTCTGCTAATTTGGATTGATGGTGGATCATTCAGTAGATAAACTCACACCCATCCTCTCCTTCAAGTAGCTCACATTCTGAGGCCAGCTGTCTAGTTTGGAAAGCTGTATATTGAGAGAACTGATTCTTGATCCCTGTACTATCCTCTTAGTAGCATTTATATGCTTTTTCATTTGAAATCATCTACTGTATAACTGGTTCTATGTCTTGGACTTAAATAGAGTGGAGTTTGCTGTACTGTGATGCTAACATTTGCTTCTGATTAGCAGTCACAAGGAACTAAACAATGCTAAAACCAGAACTTCCATTAATTTTCAACATTGCCACTCGGCATGGAGGATGGTTCTGATGAGAATCCAAGGAATGATCCAATTTTACACTGCTGATGCACTGCACGGGCTTCAGGACGAATATTGAGCTCATTGTGTCTATTTTACAGCAGGGCAAATTCAGAATTGGACTCTTATTTGATCGTCGGCTTCCGAGTCCATTAATATGGGTCTTGACTGACCATCACATGGGCCAAAAGCTCCCAGATGACCATTGATGCTTATCTGTTTGCCCCTCCCCATTCTATTGTTTTGAGTCACCATTGTAAATTTATCAGGTACAGCTTTCAGATTGCTGGATGTTCCATCAAGTGCGACGCGTTGCAGTCGGTGCATTCTGTTTCTAGGCATTTAGTCAAGGGTGGAGAAATCGCATGGCATGAAAGCACATGTGAACTGGCTCATGGCAGATCCCTTGACTGAGTGATTCCAAGAGCAGGACTCTAAGCCAAGACTCCTCTGACTTGTGCATCACTCAGCTAGGGGTGGGTGGCGGGTGCCCAGGTGGGAAGTGCCACTTCAGATGGGAGCCTCATGGCACCGTGATAGGTGATTAGGGGTTGTACTCAGTCTTGCTGCCTGTCTGGTTAGTAACAAAAAAGATGATGTACAGAATCAGGAAGCTGAGCCCCACCCCAAGTGCTGCATGGGACAAAATGAGCGCCAGCCTGGAGTTTCGCCGAGCAGCTATGATGTTTCCAGCGCGGTTGGCATCTTGTGTCTGGAGGTAAAGAGATGAATGGTGGATCAGTGGGAAAATGCACCTGGAAACCATTTCTGTCATGCTGAAGTGGCTAGTCCCTTGTGTTTGTCTTGGGCTGTCAGGTACTTGCCAGAAATCATGAGGTCTGAGGCTGGAGCCCAGCAGAGGTACTCAAGCCTTGATCTGCATGTTCTGGCTGAATCTCACACTGTTAGTTTGGATAGTCCCTGGCTTCTTTGTGTGTATATGCGTGTGCATGTTCAGACACACACTGTTAGGAATTTAGACATTATCCTCTT